CTAATCTCCTACTGCCTATAAGAATAAACATGACGGACAGGGAAATTTCATCATCTGTTAAGTTTCGCTGCCCCATTCTGATTTGGAAACATACCACTGTTCCATGATCACTGGGTCAAAATTCTGGAACTCCCTACCTGGTTATAACTCAGATAGCAACTTTGCAAAGATTGACACTGTGTATGTGCCAAAGCCAAGGGAATCTTATCCAAATTGCATGGGGATAGTGCAATTATGTCCCCGAATTAGCTACCACAATTCTGGACCAATTTAAAAAAAGGTGCTTAGATTTAATTTCAAGTTTCTGAATTTGGAAAAGCTTATTGGAACTTGCTGTAGATATTCCACCATAGCTGAAGCTCTTTGGAATGTTTCCTTCCATTAAAAGTGTAGTACAATTTCAGGCTGTTTTTGGTTCCTTGTCTTTGTGTCCAGAGATAGCACTGATGTTGTTTCTCCTTGCTGAAACCCCTGCCCCACCCAACCCCATATCCAGCTCACCCATAGTAAAGTAGTTGTTTTTCACTTGTCACTTAACTCGCAGTTGAAGATCTGAGGCTTTCTGGTGGATGCAGCCCGAGATTATTACAACCCAAGATTATTCATGTTTGAAGAACTGTCATGATTCATTTTTATAGTTTTCAAATTTAAATGAGTTGGATGGTTCCTGCAGAAACAATTGTATTTTGTTTGACTGTGTTTTGTAATACTGACAGTATATATCTAAAATGTACGATAAGGGGAAGTACAATTTGATGTATACAGTAATTAAAATTTATTGTTTGATGTCACAAAGCAAATGTTTTAGTAGCTCTGCGACCAGATGGTTCCTCTGAAAATTTTGATATAATGCAGAAGGCTTAAAGAAACTGAGCCATCACATAAGTTTCCAAACAAAATGCTTTGTTGTATTAAATTTTTAAAATCTGAGTGAAAACTTTCTATTGGGTCAATTGGTAATTTTGCAGACCAGGGAAGTTCCAGATTTTGCAGCCAGTCAATGCAGCATGAGGATGATATAATTGTATCTACAGTATGTGGGCTGCAAGAGTGTGTTGGGGAAGTGGGGGCCAAATAGAGATTCTGATAGTGAGGAACAGCAATGTGTTTCCATTTGAATTGCTGCCCAATGATCCTTGCTATAAAGTGTTAATATGTATATTTGATGAATACAGGAATGAGCTTTGCTCTGATTTTTAGCAAACTGGATTTTTAAAAACTAATTGGCAAACGTCATGTGCATAAACCAAAAAACTGTCACTCGTGAGTTAATAGATAATGAGTGAGGACTTTCAGAGCTCTGTTGGATGACTAGAAGCAGCTTGTGCAGGTAACAAAAAGCATTATTGATAGGACAAAACAGGGCAGAGGTAAACTATACAGCTCATAAATTCCCACAGGTTTCTATTATTGCCACATTTAATTACTATAACTACCATACCATGGAGGCTTATCAGCTGCTGTTCGAGCAACTGTTTGGTTTAGATAAATGCAGAAATCTGATACAAGTACTGATAACAGAAGCATAGTAGAGACATTTTGAAATTCTTGTGACATGAGCCTTGGATCATCCCAGTGTGTTTACTCCAAAACTCTCTGGTTGTTTCAAATTTTCAAGATTTTCCTGCACTTGCGCGCACCCAACAAGTGAAAGTTTATTTTCAACTGGAACACCTAAAGTGACCACAGGGTTTCATGATTCATTTTAATTTTGCATCTCAATTACCTCTTGAGTTAGGATGAGTGACATTTAAGAAACCCTGTTAAGAAGAAATACATAAGGTATAACTTCATTGTCTTAAAATTATGCCTTCATTTTTCAAAGCATCTTTATGTGGTAAATCCGAAGAGATAGCTGGAAGTAAATCAAAGCCAAAGTAAAACTTCTGTTTAAAATAGATTTCTCACAATAAAAAGTTAGAAAAATGACATGAAAATGTCAGTAATCTGTAAAGGTGTTATTGCTTGAGAATAAGAAATGCTATTAGTCCTCCATTTGTTTACAATGTTTTTCTTGTTCCTTAAAATGGTGTTTGAAGACTTCATGGTTTATCTATGAAATTAAAACTATCCTTGATTATCCTGATAGCACTGGTGGTTTAATGTGTAAAATGCTTATCAATACTCATTCTTATGAAGCCCTTCTGTTGCTACTATTGAAAATGTGTTTTGGAGAATATCTCAAATCTTCTATACTAGAATTAAATGATGTTTGAACCTCTCAAAAAAGCAGAAATGAAACTGTAATCAGAGCATGATTGGGTATCAGTAACAACACAGGTAATCGATTTCTGTGAAATTATTTGAATTTAAAGTCTGAGAAACAGCATTTGTTCACATTCTGCTAGTGGCAGGAGACAGGGAATGACTCAGAGAACTTATCAAAGTCTGATATGATTGAGCAAGAGGCCCGTGTTGACTTTTATAGATCATCTGGTGTTAGAATTGGCCTATACATGGCAAGTGAGTCAAATCATTTAAATCTTCTGTTGAATTGTGTAAAATTGTTCAATACTGTAATGATATGATCTGGCTACATAAATATTCCCAATTCTGCAAGATTTATATTGATCTGCCAGTGACAAAGAATCAAAATAAATAAATAAAAGCTGACTCTGGCTGAATGAGATATCTGCAATCATTCAACTCATACAGAAATATGTAGTTATATTGTCAAATCTTTTATTGATTCTTTCATGTGTGAAATATTATTTGCACTTGTGTGTCATTATTTATAATAGTTATTGGCTCATAAGGGAGAATTGTCATGAAATGATTGACAAGTTTCCAGATAAATTGATTGCTTAATCAATGCATCGTATTGTCATTACATGATAGAAATGTTACAGAATGGTATGCAAAGGCCATTATGTATCATTCAATGTGTTTATGAAAACCTGCAAGATCCTATGTTTAATCCCTGATCTAAACTGAGTGAGCTACACTTGATCTGTTGGTGGAAATCCTTCCGTCAGCTTGAGTAAAACTTGGCTGGCAAGGTTAAAGATAATAAAACCATTCCTGATTGCTGCACATGGGCATAATTTTCAGACCTATCACCCTATAGCCAGACATTGTGGGGCAGGCCTTTGAGTGGCATGAGGTATGGCCAGTGGGACGAAATGCTGGAAAGACTGAATGCGTCCTTAGTAATTTCACTACCGCTTCTGATATAGTACTAAAACCATAAATAAAAAGTAAAGATACAAATAATATATTCACTCTTTATTTTAATGTGTGACGTGATTGGTATGTTAGAAGATTTCTAATAATGCCATGAGCAAAACTTCAACTTATGAACAGGAATTGGCAGCAGTACTAATGTTTCCTAATGAATGACGCAAGTGGTTTTATGTCAGTTACTGAAGTGTTTGTCACCAGCAGCTAATTTTGGAAGATGCACTGTTCTCCTTTTGGGGTGCATTTCATTGTATAATTAGGTGTGCTTTTGGTTGAAGGTTATATGCCATTCTAATATCGACTGATTTTGTTCTGTAATTTCTTTCGGCTCGTACCTCCTCTTATGTGATACTGGAATCACTTCCGTTAATTAACTTCTTTTTAACCTACCAAGTCATTCTCTTTCTCTATCTGTTCTTTTTTTCCTCTGGCATTGTGTCTAATGGTAAATTTTCTGCAGTTGTTTCTAGAAAACGTCTGCCAAGACCTTTTGAGAAGCTTTGGGTAGCCTTGTACTAACATTCTTATAAATTTATTATATGTAATTAATAGTTAATGACGTTACATCTGAGTTATCCAAGAATCCCTTGAGAGACATTAGGCTGTAAGTAAGACTAAGAAAGCATCACAGTTTAGCTACATGGAGCTTGG